CCCAGTGACGGAATCAATCCATCAGGACATTTTTTTTCTTTAATCTGTAGGGACATCTGGATATGAACTGTAGACTGGATGATACAATTGTATCTATGTTGACTCTTGTAGGTTCAGTGATATTACAGTCATATAGTGTGTTGATGTTTCCAGAAGACACATGCTAAGGTATTTAGTAGTGATGTGTCATGTTTTCTATGAACTTCTTTGGTGGTTTAACCAACAGACTGTTATTTGTGCCTGACTCACAGCTGCCCTCCAGGCCATTTTCAGAGGCAGTAAATTGCACAGTAGATATCTCTTCCTTCTTTCTCCTCTGGGGCAGCAGATAGATTTGAATGGCTCACCTTTGGGTTGGCAGTGCAACTCTCAATCCACTAGACCACAACAGTTCCCTCATGGTTTAGAAAAAGGCAAATGTGTTTTATACACACACACACACACACACACACACACACACACACACACACACACACAGAGAGAGAGAATATATATATATATGTATCTATATATAAAGAATAAAGAATAGAGAGAGCGCGTGAATATCTATATAGAGAGCACACGAATATAGACATACAGAGAATGCACAAATACAGAGAGAGCTTAAGCGCAGGAGAGCACCCAGGTGCTCTGGTGGCTTAGTGGCAAGAAGATGAGCTGCAATCCCCAAGGCATGAAGTTCGAGTCCACTAGCAGTCTCATCTTGTGTAATTAACTGCCTCAGAAAACCCACTGGAGGGTCAGCTATTGGGTCGGTTCTGACATAACAACATACACACACAGAAAAAGAAAGAGGTGATAGCAAGCTGTTGACAGTTGGTAAATTTAAGTGAGATATATGGAAATGCTCATTATTTATATTTTTCAGTGGATTAAAAAATTTCAGACTTAAAAAATCTATTTCAAAAGAGGTGAAATATTATACAAAATGGGTGACTCTGGAGGACATTATGCTGAGTGAAATATCTTAGTCATGAAAGGGCAAATACTACATGGTGCCACTGTTGTAAAATGGGACTGACATCAGCTTGGGGGAAACCTAAGAAATGAGAGGATAAATAATGTACACTGTATTGAAACAGATGAAGGAGAGAACTGTTTAAAAGAAATATATGATTAGGTATTATTTTCATTACAAGAGTCCAGAATAAGAGCTGCATAGTAAAGTGGACTGGGGTGGGGGGGATTGTATAACAATGAAAGAATTTTCTTTTTTACTTTTCAATAAGAAAAGCGAAGTAGGGGGTAAGGGAGGGGAGGGAGGAAAATGTGCAACAATGTATGAATAGAAATCCAAAGTCTCTGTAAACTTTCTTTAGAATTTCAATTAAAAAACCCTTCAGACTTAAAAAACTATTTCAAAAGAGGTGCTAAAAATGCCACATTTTCAGAACAGTATACAGCAAACACTGACTTGATTTGTGTTGCTGAATATAGCCTTTGATTGTGGTACAGTGTAGTAGACTGAATTTGTACCCAAAGCCCCAAACCAAATGTGCTGCCCTTGGGTTGATTCTGACGTACGGTGGCCTCCTATGTCATGGGAGAAAGAACTGAAAGTCCCACTGACTGAACAGCGAGGCAGAGGCGTGGTAAGGTGGTCTGACTTGATAAGGCAGCTCAGCTGGCTGGAAACAGAGCCAGGACTGGAACACAGCGTTCCCGCTGCCGTGCCCCACTGCTGTCTGTACGGATAGCTGTCAGTGCAGTCTAGAACACGGTCATCTTTAGCCTGACACCCCTTATCTGAAGGCTCTTGGTGCATCAGTTGCTGTGATATCCTTGCTTTTTGAGAAGATATAAAAATCAAGGTTGTAATTTTTGGGAAGCTGGTATGACCAGTCATTTGAGATACTTTTAAAAGCAATGCATTCAAACCTCAGTTGCTCAGGGGGTATGGTGAAAGGTCGCCTCTTAAGGAGATGTAAGTAAAGCTACTGTGGTTTAAAGGGACATTATGTTATAATGTGTAGCTTCAGCTCTTGTCCCACTGAGCATCTCCAGCAAGTGAAGGGCCTTGTTTTCAGTAAATGAGCTTGTAGTGGGTAATGATTGTGAGGAGGCAGGAAAGTTTCCATAAAAAAGGAAAATCTCAGTTACAAGCAGCTCTGCATTCCACATGTCCGGCTTCCATACAAAGCATAGTCATGTGCCAGCCCTGTAAAGCCCATTATGGTAACGAGTCCATGCATGTGCAGTGATTTTGTAACAGTAGGAGTGCTGCTTTGTGATTTGAATCAAAACATTATTATTTTGTCAGGTATGTTTGAATATATATTTCTTTTCAGTTTTATGCACAAAACGATGTGCAATATATATTACAACGGACGTTAGTTTGGAATTCTGCTTAACTAACTCGTTCATAATCTGAGGACTGCTTATACTACCAAAATAATGAAAAGAGAAGGCTTGCTTGTTTCATAATTTTCTACTAATTACGGAGGGGAACTTGAGAGTTGGGAAACTGAAGGTTTCCTTCTGCAGTGTAATAGCCTTTTCTGAGTGGATTGCTCCCTTGACCCTTCACATATAGAAGGGTCCATGCAGCTGAGAAAACATGCAAGCAAATGACTAATCACGCTCCTTATAGATGATGGCCAAGAGTAAGGCGGGTGTGGTTTGGAAGCTTGGTGCCCTTGTGGGCGTCTAGGAGAGATGGATCTGAAATCATTAACTTCAGAAGTGGGGCAGTTACACCCCACTGGCATGCATAACTGTCCTTAAAATAATAACCAACATAAGTGAATGACCGGTAACAAGGAGGTGATATGTCTTTGTGTGTCTGTATGCTGAAATGAGATATCTGAGAAGACATCTTTGGTTCCTCCTTGAATTTGGTGGGATGTCCTTGTCTTGTGAGTTCAGAGAAACCCTAAAGACTTTCTGGGATTATTCCTTCCTTCATTTTCTTGATTCTCCTCTGCTGGCCTTACTGCTAGCCCACTACCCCTGCTGTTGCATATTAACCTGGGAGAAGAACCACTTAGTTCCGGCACATTTTTAAGATTTTGGTCAGAATCAAAGGAGGTCTTTGATTCTCTGAATAGAGGTGGCTACTCTATGTGATGATTTATTTTTTAATTTCTTTTCTCCTAGTGTTACTTACTTCCAAGCCTTTAAACCTATCTTGCTCACTCTCGAGGGCCTCTGCAATTTTACGTCCATCATTTATTTAAATTTATTTTCTCACCATTAAATGGAATTTTAATTGGGTGAGCTCTACCCAATTCTCTGGTCTCCTTGTTCCTGTGGCCTCTCTGTCCCGTCTCTTGGACCCTTTGCTCCTTTTTTCCTGGTCTGATGGTAGAGGACATGCCTCTTGTACCAGACTCTGTGAGATCACATCTTGGCCTCGGGCACATAACCTCTCTGTTTATGCTTTGGTTTTCCTCATCTGAAAATAGAGTTGAAAGTTTCTGTCTCATAGGGCAATGATGAGGGTTTAAAAAGCACTAAAACCCGTGCAGACATTTAAAACGTGTTATTTCATTATCCCACCACCCACGTGTCATTTTGTTGTACGGTGGTGGCTTGCATGTTGCTGGGGTTCTGGGAGCTACACCACCAGTATATGAAATACCAGCGGGGTCCCCCATGGTGGACCCATTTTGTCATAGTCTGGCAGCTCAGAAACACTTCGCAGACAGCTGAGAGAGCTGTCATGTGTGAGGGAAGTGGCACAGAAAAGGAAGCCTGTAAGAAAGCCTTTCCAGGATATCCTGTCTCCTTCTCAATGTTAAAGAGTTTCAAGTAAAGCCTTTGTTTTGGAGTTCTATTTGGCTGCTGCTTCGTATTCTCTGAACTACAACACTCTGATCAGGGGCCGCACTAGTCAGAGTGACAGAAAGTGACAATTATATGTATTGACTTACACCTAATCATACAAATGCAATGTGCCTTTCATCCCTATTTTTAGAATCTACCGGTATAGGAGGAGCCATGGTAACACAGTGGGTTAAGCATTGGACTGCTGTCTAAGAAAAGACTGATGGATTAAACCAACCAGCTGCTGCTCTTTTTGAGAAGGATGTAGCAGTCCGCTTCTGGAAACATTTACTCGGTGGGGGAATTCTGCTCTGTCCTGGAGGGTCACCGTTGGTCAGAATTGACCGCACAGCATGGGTGTTGCTTATTATTGACACAGAAAGGAGCCCCCTGAGAGGACCCTTCTCTACTGCCTTTCCTCTGTCATTTCCAGGTCCTTTGAGCTCTCTCTCTCTCTCTCTCTCTCCTTTTATTCCCTAAGGATAAGCTCACTTGCTGCCTTGTCACATTTCTGCTGTGGACAGAAAGCAAAGCTGAAAGAGTGGGAGGGATATGGATGTGGGCTGCACACTTGATTGTGGTCATTGGGTTTTCATCTTGAGTCATAAATGGGGACGGTCCTGCCGAAGGCCGGGGCCGAGGAGGGCACTGAGTGTCAGGCAGGTGGACTGTGAAGAGAATCTGACTCTGTCATTGCCATTGAGTCAGAATCAACTCAGAGCGGAGCCTCAGGGGAGTGTCTGGGAGGCTAGAGATCACAGGGTTGCTGGTCTGTCTCCCATGGAGCCACTGTTGGATTAGAATTACAAGAGGAGTGCTGCCTCTGGGTGAATAGCACAACTCCCCATGGATGAGGCCACTAGAACCAGCTTTCAGTTAAACCTTGACATTTAAACTAGGATGGTCATTCCCCAGCTTGCGCCTTCCTGTCCTCTGCTCACTCAACAATTTAATAATAAAACATAGGTGAACATCCAGCTAAAATGTAGATTCTGATTAAGCAGATCTGGGCTGGGAAGGCAAGTTCTCAGCAAGAAGTTGAATCTGAAAGTTGGTTCAGCTGGTTCGAAGCTAGCCCCAATCCACAGTGTCCATGTGATTAACCAGAAACTTCATTTGCTGGTGGTTTGCCATATAAATGGATTTGGTCAGACATAAGCAAGAGCTCGGCCTCAACTGTGAGACCAGCGTGAAAACGTACTCTGTGGCAGTAGATGAGGCTGGGATTTACTTACAGTGTTAGAAGTACATTATGCATCCCTTGAAAAGCATTTCCTGGTATGGTGGTTATGTACAAATTATCACAAATTTCCCTTAAGGAAAAGAAATGAGAAATATTTACTTACCAAAGTTTAGCTGCAAATCGGAAACTGTTAGGCAGAGCAATCAGCCTGGTACTTACAGAATGAAGTAAAAATTGGAGGGGAAGATCTTCGTAACATCTGGAAACGTTTGGATGCCTGTATTACAGATACTCCTGTGTTTGGAGACAGGGTGGTAATGAGGGCATAGGAGTAGGCAAAAGTAATCAACATTAAGGCATAAAAAGAAAGCAGTGTGCCGTGATGTAAATACCATTTCCCACATTAAGCTAGACATGGAATTTGGTTTCATCAGTAACACATTTTAGCAGATGTTGTTGTTGTTATGTGCTGTCGAGTCGCTTGCAACTCATAGCGACCCTATGCACAACAGCCCTAAACTCTGCTCTATCCTGTGCTAATCACACTGTCTCCAACACACCCATCCTGATTATCCCAGTCACTGAATTAATCCACCTCGTAGAGGGCCTTCCCCTCCTGCACGGTCCCTCCACCCTCCCAAGCATGACATCCCTCTCCAAGGACCTGTCCCTCTTACAGCATGTCTAAAGTATGTCAGACGAAGCCCCAGAATCCTTGCCTCCAAGGAGCAGCATGTTTGAACCCTCTCTGGGATGAATCTGTTTGTTTTCTTGGCAGTCCATGGTACACTCAATACTTTTCTCCAGCACCACAGCTTAAAGGCATAAATTCTCCTTCTATCCTCCCTAGTCACTGTCCAGCCCTCTGATGCATAACAAGACCATGGCCTGCATCAGATGCACCTTAGTCTCCAGAGTGACACCATTGCTCTTCACTATTTTGGAGAGGTCCCTAACAGCAGACTTTCCCATTGCAATAAAAAAATTAATTTAGCAGATGAGATCATCATAATTTAAAAGCCCCTAATTCACTGGGAAGGGAGCTCTGTTGGCTTAGTGCTAAGAGGTGTACTGCAGTTCCAAAGGCACCTCGTGTGAATCCACCAGCTGGTCTGTGGGAGAAAAATGGGCATTCTCTTCCTATGTAGTGTCCAGCCTCTGTAAACCAGGTAGATGGTCAGCTATGGACCAGTTAGTTCTGCCTCCGTGGCAATGAGTGAAGGAATGAATCTGATAGAAAGGAGCTCTGGTTGCCGTAATGCATCACATGTTGTACCGCTGACTGAGATATTGGTAGTCTGGAATTCACAGGGCTCTCCACGGGAAAGAGATGGGCAGTCTCCTCCCATAACATATGTGTAGCCATGGAAACCACATGCAGAATTCCTCAAGTTGACTCCACAGCAGTGACTTTGTTTAAGATTCACAACCACAGAAACCCAAGAGAGGAATGTTACGAGTTGGATTTGACTTGACAGCAGTGCGTTTTAATCCTCTGGGAAGGAGTTCTGATGGCATAGTGTGCTGTGTGTTGGACTGCCAACCAAAAGGTCGGTGACTTGAATCTACCAGTCACTCCACAGGAGAAAGATGGGCAGTCTCCTCCCATAAAATATTTACCGCCGTTCATTCATTGTTGCACTTTTCTCCCTGTCCACCCCTTTCCCCCAATTCTCTCCTCTCCTTGAAAAGCAAAAGAATGGAAATAAAAAAATCTCTGTAAATGTTCATTAAAAGAAAAAAAATAATAGAGTACCAAAAAAAATTTATCTCCTTGGAACCCTGTAAAGGGTTGCCTTGAGTCAGAATCAACTCGGTATAGGTGGCTTTGGTTTGAGGGGTTAGTCCTAGGAGAAAATTTTCTCTAAGACTCTTATTTAGAGGCTGAAACCTCTACATTTTAATGTCTGTCTTATTTCTATCTCCAGCCCATCTTTTCCTATTGCATTAATTGCTTTTTCCTTTTGTACTACACTCCATTTCCTTTTGGTAATGAACTTATTCCATTCTTTTTTTTAATTTTTTTTTATTCCATTCTTTTGATTGCTCCAGCAAGTGTTTCCTATACTGGGAAGAGATTTCAACACTTGAGGAAGATTACTGTCTATCTGAGACATTCACATCCATTATTTCTAATAACCTTTTTACCCCCTTGTGACTTAGTAAGCCCTCCCGTGTAACTCTAAAATCATTGAACATTGTCTGGGTGTTGGGAGGTACTAAGGGCTCCTCTACTATTTAACTCCTCAAAAAGATGGGAAGAGAGCTCCAGTGGTAACAGGCTGCACTGCCATCCCAAAGGCATGCGGTTCAAATCCCCTAACTGCTCCACAGAAGATGGGTTTGCAGTTTGCTGCCTCTGAAAACTCCCTGGAGTTGTGAGTTGAAGGAACACAATGATAAAAACAAAGATGAGAGGTCTTGGTAACAGGATCAATTGAAAAAGGTCCTTTAGAAGGGCCTAGGTATCATATTTCCTCCGACTGGCTCTGATTACAACAGAGTGAGGCAAAGGTTCACTTTGGCCTTTTCTGTTTCAGTGCTTCACCCGTTTCTCCAGCAAATCTAATGCATGTTGTAGTGGGGCCCAGGGGAAGTTCCTCCTCCACCTCTTCTTGGTGAACATGCCATTTAACAAAGATCATAATGATACCAAGGGGTCACAGTGGTCAGATTTGGTTGTGGGGGTTTTCTTAGCTTTTTCTTCAGTGGCCGATGGTGCAGTATGCCTGGTGGAATCCCTGCTGGTCTAAAAACCCAGAAGGCCTGGGCCTGGAGATGTTCAGTCCTTGGGGACACCAAGCCCTGCAGCTCTTAAAGGAAGCCTGAGGGTAGGCTGGAGACTGCACGGAAGAGTGAGCAAGAAAGCACTGCCTTCCCCTCTTACCTCTTTAAAATTTTTATGGCGGTAAAGGAATTTTTTAAGTCCTCTGGGAAATCTTAGGGTATTTTATTTATTGGGAGAAAGAGAGAGAGAAGAGGGCATTTGAATTAGGGCCATCTAATTTATTTTTCTGTGTGACTAAGAAATTACTTGATGTGGGAAAAGATCCTTGGAGCTAAATTTACAGATTTTTTCTCATTTCAAGAATTTCTGCATTGCTGCCAATGAATCTCCTGAATTACAGGGGCCACACAGCTTGCCCTGCTACCCGGCGGGCTTGGTAAGATGTAACAGGAACCAGAAAGAATGACTTTGTTTAACACCGGGCCTCCCTCAGGGCAGTGTTTACAACCTTTTGGCACACTGAATACAGAAATGGACAGACACAAGAGAATCTGGACTGCAGTAATTCTCCAGAGTTGGGTCAAACCATTCTTCCCTCTTGTGTTATGTTTGCATCAGCACCTACCTTAGATATCCTGAATGCTTATTGGAGTGGTTTTTTCCCTTCACTTTATTTTAATTTTATACTGATTTGCATATAGAATTCATATACGCTGTGTATCATTCATGGACACTGGATTTCACACATTCCTACGTGTTTCAAATGATCAGTCATGTATATATTGTGTTTTATAAATTAACCACCATTGATCTAGGCCTACTATCACCCCATCTTCTTAGTTCCCCATTGGCTCTTTTGTAAATCCTTTATCCCTCCCTTCTGCTCCCCAGATTTTGCTTTCCAGTGATTTCCTCTGCCTCTCTTTCTTTCCCCTTTTGGACTTTTGTCCATATCTTACTAGTTATATCCTTCTATTCTTACAGATATTATCTTATGCCGTATTATTTGTCCTTATGAGACTGAGTTGGTTCACTCAGCTTCATGTTCTCTAGACCCTCCCATGTTACTCTGTATTTCACATAGTGCTGTATAGTATTCCATTATGTGAATGTACCATAATTTCTCAATTCATTTGTTTATTGATGGACATTTGAGTTGTTTTCATTTTCTTGCTGTTGTAAGTAACACTGAACATAAGCATACACAAATCTCCATTTGTGTCTCAGTTCTATTTTCCTCAGGGTATCTTCCTAACAGTGGAATAGCTGGGTCACATGGAATTCCTATGTTCAGCCTTTGAGGAAATGTCAGGCTGACTTCCAGAGTGGTTGTTCCATTTCACCATCGCACTAGCAGTGTATGAGATATACAATCTCAGGACCTCTCATTTCTGTCTTCAACTTTAAAAACTCACTGCAAAAGAATGACACTTTGGTATTTGTGGCAGAGAAATTCCTCGGAACCACAGAGCTCAGTGACTAGAATACAGTGTTGGTTTTGACTAAAAGTGAATCCACGTGACTGAGTAGAACTGCTCCATCAGGCTTCGTGGTGATTGATCTGTTAGTTTTCTGTAATCTTTATGACAGCAGATCATAAGCTCTTTCTCACACAGGGCCACCAGATGGGTTTGAACCACAAACATTTCCGTTCCCAGCCCAGCACTTAACCATTGTGCCACCAAGGATTATTAGTATATAATGTCAGTTGACACTGAATCGATTCTGACTCAGTGACCTGACAGAACAGAACAGCTTCGTTGGGTTTCCCAGGTTATAAATCTTGATAGAAAGTGACTACCTAATTTTTCATCCATGGAGCATCTGGTGGATTCAAACTGCTGACTTATGGTTAGAAGCTGAGTGCTTCACCAATACAAAACCAGAACTCCTTTATAATAAAAACTCAACTCAGTGCTGTCAAGTTGGAAGTCACTTCTAGCTGACTTTCCAGTGGGTTTCCGAGTCTGTAAGTGGCACAAGAAGAGATTACTCATTGTTCTCCCAAGCAGCTGCTAGGGGTTCACACTACCAGAGAGGTAACATTTTGGGTTAGCAGCACAACACCCTAAAAACTACACCAGCAGAGCTCCTTCAAGACAGAAACTAACTCAAATATAATATTTAAAAAACACTGGCATATAACAAAACCTCAGAAATGCCGATTCAGTTTAAGTCAGAAAACTGAACTCGATGAGGAGAGAATGCTAAGTACATGGTTAAAAATACCCCCCTCAGCCTTTTGTTTGATTTTCATGGAATGCTCCTTCCCCTCCCCAGGTACTTTTAAATAAGAAGAGAATTGCTCACATGTACTTTAGCCGGGGGAGGTTTGTAAATGCTCCAGGTGCAATGAACACAAGGTTCTTGGCGTTCTGAATCATTCTGTAGAGAGAAGAGGAGAGGGGAAAGCAGGCAGCAATATAACAGTGTGTATTGTTTGCACAAGACCATGTTGCCAGAGGATGCAACACAAAGCAACTTCCTGATGTTAGAGAGGCGAGCCGGAGACCCAGAGCATGGGGAATGGATGATGCGAGTGGGTCGGCCGGTGCCAGGAAATTCTGCAGACTGGGTGAAAGCACCAGCCCTGGGAGAAAGCACCAAGTGCTCCCTCCAAGACATCACAGGCTCCTAGCCTGCAGGTCGGGCTGCTCTGAGGAGCCTGCAAACAGGGCGTAATCTGCAACTGTGCTCCTGCGAGGTGAGCCAGTCAGCTAGGCTTTGAGCGGTGGGTTGGAGAAGAGCACTGACTATCCCACAGACTGCCAAAAGAACACGCAGATCATGTCTGGGAGAAAGCGTGGCCAGGGGGCTCCTTAGAGGCAGTGATGACAAAGCTTCCTCGCACTTAGGACATGCTGTCAGAAAGTGCTGGGGAAGGTGGAGGGTCAGAGAAAGAGAGGAAGCTCCTCAATGAGGTGGATTGACACAGTGACTAAACCAGTAGCTTTGAGTGTATCACAGATGCTGAGGATGTCGCAGGACAGGGGTGAGGCTGGGCTTCACATCTGCCGTTCAGAGGGTCTCTGTGAGCAGCAGTTGACTCAGCAGCAACAACATTCCCTTTGGGTTCAATACAATATAACTGGATGCCAGTAATGCCGCTGCCTTTCTTAATCCATTCACCAGTCACCCGAGTGCCCTTGTTCGAGACAGAAGACATAGTATATAGGTGAAGAATAGGATTCTGGAGTTAGTCTTGACCTTGATTACTGACTGTATGAGCATGGCTATGGTGGTGCTTGTCAGTCAAGCTGACTGCGACTCTTGGTGACTCTGTGAACAACAGAACGGAACCTTGTCCTGTCCTGTGTCACCACCACCATCTCTGATGTGTTTCAGGCCTTCGTTACACTGTGCCAGTCCATCTTGTTGAGAGTCTTTCTCTCCTACGTTGACCCGCCACCTTTTCCATGTCTTTTTCCGAAGACTGATCCCTCCTGATAACACTCTCAAAGTGAGCTGACGTTTCCCCACTTTGACCTCCAGGGAGCACCCCGGTTATACTTCCTGCGAGAAAGCTTTGTTTGCTCCCTTGACCATCTGTGGGACATTCAATACTCTCTCCAGCACCCCAATTCAAAGGCATCTCTCCTTTGCTCCTTTGGTCATCTGTATTCATTGTCCAACTTTCAAGTGCATAGGAAGCAATTGAAAAACTGTCTTGAATCAGGCACACCTTAGTCTTTAAAGTGACCCCAGATACATGACTTAAATCTCTCTGCACCTCCGTTTCCTCAGAGGGTGGTCGTGAAGAGGAACTGAATTGAGTCTGAGTCTCTCTAAGGCCTCAGTCAACACAGAGGCCTTCATCAATGTAGCTGATAAAGCCGGGAGACGGGATTGCCACACATTTGAGAAACAGTCCAGGTGGACACGGACCTAGCTTTTATGACTTTAAGTCTAGAGAACAGGGTCGTAAACTGTAGTTACTCACCATGCAGGCTCAATTCTGCCTTTTATTTAAGTCCTTTAGTCTCTCCAGATGTAACATTTTGTTACCATAATTTTTACAACGGCCGAGTCAAGCAACAAGAACCGTAGAGGACATTGTGCAGGTGAGATGGGAGGCAGCTCTGCTGGTTGAGAGCCTTTGGGGTTTGACCTCAGATTCCTTCATACCTTAATTTGTTTATGAATATCAGGAGTTTACAAATGTCATCGGAGCTGAGGATACAGCTGTGAACAGAACAGAAGCCTGCATGGAGCCTACTACATCCTAGTCTCAGATTTCAAACTTTCTTCTCTCATAGTGTTTTGGGAAGAAAACCCATAAACAAAATTCCTTTAGAGCACTTGATGCTATTTTCATTTCTCTTGATAAGTGATGCTGCGTATCCAAGAACGTTCTGTTATTTCTCTTGAGCTGCCCTAGTGATTCTCATTCTAACTTGGAAGTCTGTTAACATTGCTGATTTCCAGGTCTGGGATAGGATTACCGTCTGTAATTATAATGAGCCCGTGCAATTCTGTTTCACAGCCACGTTTAGACAATACAGTTTGCACTGAGGAGAGTCAGCTCTGAGTCATTTCCGACTGGATGGCAAATAACAACAACATCCATTCCTTCGGACTGTTCTGTAATCGTTTGGCAGGTTAGTCTCTGTCACCCTCATGGGGATATTTGAGCAGGAATGTTCCTCTCTCTGTATTCCTGCAGGACTTGACTGAGGCTCGGATGCCTGGTGGACACTCCCACACCATTTTACACAATCAGTGATCGGATCATTAAGACGTAGACATAATACAATACATGCACATTTTGCAGACCAAGGATGGGTTGAGTTTGAATGCCAGCCCTGCCATCATTAAAGGTGACATTTGGGTCAAGTTCCTGAGCCTCCCTAGGCCTCCTTTCCTTCTGCTTCAAACTAGGGACAATGGTCATGAGAATGAAATGACAACTCTTCAGACCATCCAAGCGTCTGTCCTGACAGAATGTTCATGGCTACTGTTTATTCCTCAGCTTCCAACAATCTCAAGTAGGGAAGGTTGGAGTGCTCTTCTGGAAATCCTGGTTCAAGGGGAAGGTGGCCTGGCTTCTAGTTCCAGCTCTGACACAATCATTTATTGTGAGACATCAGGCAAGTCAGTTAAACTCTATTTGAACCTCACGATTCATCATCTGAAAATTGAACGGAGGCAATCTCCTTCCTCTCATCTTTTTTTTGTGAATTAGGGAAGAATGAGACTTCAGAAAGGATTCTTTAAAAGGATTCTTACAACCTCACCACAACCAAGCAACAACAAATACCATAATTCGTGGGCCCCACACAAGATATTACATGGCAAGTTCTCAGGGAGAAACTATTGGATAAAGCAACATGCCAGAATAGTTCCTCTGTGAGCCAGTTCATGGGCTCACCCCAAGCACCCCAGACCCTCTCTTCTGTAAGGTAAGAGAACCTTGGCAGGGCTCCACAGCACCGATTTTCATTTCCAACTTTATGTTGTGATGTTTCAGAGTGTATATGGCTCCGCGGGAGAAGCAGTTGTCACCATGGCAACCTTCAGACCACTGCCGTGAGAGAAATTAGTGCCTGCCCAGACCTGGTAATTGCCATGGTCGTTCCCTTTTGGATTCTGGACAGAGGATGCTTGGATACAAATGCTGACTGGGCTCCAGCCACAGAGGGCAGTAGTACAGCAAAAAAACTATCAGTTAGCTGATGCTTACATTTCAGACAAATTGAGAAGGCTGTCAAAGGCACTGGCTTCTATCCTTTCCAGGGACTGACTGTAGTACATACCACTATGGGAGAAAAGAGAAAAAGAACATGAGATGACCTGTGTGCGTGAAAATCAGTTCTGTGTGCGTGACCCCATCACAGGGGCCCCGGTTTACTTCTCCCCACCTGCAAAGGATCAAAGAGGCCAGGAGTCATCCTCAAGTCCTAAAGGAACATCTCATTTAAGAGCACCGAGGGGCATTCACAGCCCAGGCACTGCTTAAATGCAAGTTTCAGTAACCCCTGTTGATGTGATGCGTCGTTCCTTATTGATCTCTGTGCACAGAGTCACAGATGGTGAGCAGTAGATGGGCTCTGGGAGGAAATCTAGTCCGATTCGCTGGTTTTATAGCCCTGGAAATCGAGGCTCTAGCAGGAGAGGCTGAGTGCCTGTGTGGAGGTTCAAGACTACTGGGATCTCAATTCATTGCTCTCGTGGTGGGCTAGTGTTAGGAAGCGGCCGTGCAGTCCCCCAAGCATGCAGTGGAATCACCAGCTGCAACACGGGAGAAGGATGGGCAATCTCCCGTGTGATGACAGCCTCTCAAAACCTGCTGGAGGGTCAGCCACGAGCTGGTTCCCACTTGACAGCACACAGCAACAACCACAAGATGAGGTTTGAATTTGGGTTGGGTTGAGTTTATCAGTTCATAAATCTAACTCCTGGTTTCCCAAAGTCCTGTTCCAAGGCCTCTGTGCGTAGTGTCCCTTTCTGAGCTGTAGTTGTCTCACTCTGTGAGCAGACCAAGAACTGACATAGACCCCCGTGTTTCTGAATCATGGTGGCTTCAAATTGCCAGGCAGGTACACACAGATAGAATGAACAAGTGGAATAGGATGTGGATTTTTAAAAAAAAATAAAATAAAACATAAAGAAACTAGCCTTGCCAATTCTGTCCCCCAAGCATGTATGTGATAACAGTATTAGCAAAAATTCCTCCCAAGAAACTTAACATTTGCTTCCAACTGAGGAAAAACAAATCTCAAATTCACACATGGTCCATGGTCCATTTTCATGTTTTGGAGGTCCGTGTGCATGGACACCTCCTGCCTTGGTGAAGGCCTACCTCCACAGAAGGAAAGACTCTCAGCAGTTCATGACTGTTGTGAACAACAAGAGAATGAATTGACCCCGGGCTGGTCTAGCTTGTTCTTGCCCAATGAGTTGTTTATTTAACAGTGGCTGCTTTCCTCAGTGGGACGTATTAATGTATTACAGCTGATCAAAATCCAACATTTTAACTTGAGAGCAGCAACAAACAAAAAAAGTTTGGTTCACGCAAATGGATTTTGCTGTAATTTGTCATGAACTACCTATAAAAGGCACTGTTATTGTTAAGTGCTGTCGAGTCGTAGGTGGCTCATAGCGACCCTATGAACAAAAGACCTGAACAGTTGTATAACTTTCATCGTTTCTCCAAGTTCATAGAGTTTCCCGAGGCAAGCTATTTTGGAAGTGGATGCCACTCCTGCTTCCAAGCTTGTTTTAATTGGGGAGCTCCACCAAACACCGTCCACCATGGGTGACCATTATCGCATTTGAACCATCTGTGTCACTGCGTTTAGCATCACAGCAACCACAAGTTTCCTCTGTACAGCAGATGGACAGACCAGTGCTTTACCACTTAGAAGAATGTTAAAAGAATAGGTACTAATTATTTTCCTTAAAATTTTATTTATTTATTTGTGTGTGTGTGTGTGTGTGTGTGTGTGTGTACCATCAAATTGGATCTGACTGGTACAGGAGGAGATTGTCCCTCCTTCTTCAGCAGAGCATCTGGTGGATTCGAATCACATAACTCTGGGTTTGCAGTGCAGCTTCTTGCCACTAGGCCACCAGAGCTCCCTAATACTTTAAAAAAAATTTAAAAAGTCATTGTAGTACAAAATACAGTATGTTGTTCTTGTGTGAGGTTGAACTGGAACCAAACCATAGCTGACCCTCAGGCAGGTTTTCAGAAGCAGTTAATCACACAGGAGGAAATTGCCCACCATTCTCCTGTGGAGCAGCTGGTGGATTAGAACTGAGTGACTTCAAGATTGCCATGCACATTCTTGCCACCAGGCCACCAGTGCTCCCTTAAAATACAATATAAGGAGTGTCTAATTGCTTTAGTCATTGTATTCTGTTGTGGTCCAGTATTTTTAAATAAGCGTAGTGATATGTAGTCTTTATTGAGGAATTCCTTTTATGATTTCCGCAGCTTCTTAATGCCTTAAAGAACAGTGAGGAGTTCCCTAAGGATGTAGGCTTTACTGCTGTGAAGTGTGAAACCAGATTCCAAAGCCCAGGGGATTGTTAAAATCCGTATTCTCCAGCTCAGGCTCGCTAAAGTTAAAAAGAGGACTCTGGGATTCCTTAGGCAGTTCTCTTGCATACACATATGGGGCTTGGGACCTTAGAGGAGTTCTGCTGACACATTAAAGCTCTCCGCTGCTGCCCAAAAAGACATAAAGAAACTACCAGGTGTTCCCCAGGAGAAGGATGTGGCCTTCTGCTTCCGTGAAGCCACTCAGTCAGTCATTCACTGCTGAGTTGGAACTGACTCATAGCTCACATTCCAGTGGGTTTTTCAAGAGGTTGTAAATCATATAGGAGGAGCTGGCCTATTTTTTCTCAGGAGGAGCAGCTGGTGGATTCAAACCACCAGCCTTTTGGTTGGCAGCAAAACTCCTACCCACTAGCCTACCAGAGCTCCCTCCATAAAGAATACATACAGCCCTGGAAACCTGTGGGCGGTTCAACACTGTCTCTTGGGATCGCTGGGAGTTAGAGTCGACTTGACTACCGTGGACTCAGGCGGATTTACAACTTTGCAGACGCGTGACCACACTACTCTATCATGTTGCTTTACCGTTTTGAGAAAAGTACTGTACTTCTGTCATGTACGTATTATATTTTAGATGCAAAGATTACCACCTTCTGATGCACAATAAACTTTGAACACATTTTCTCCGACGTGGATGCTATCTGAAAATGTGACACGGGGGACCAGCTGCTGTAGGAGAAGCAGAATTTTTTACGATTAGAATCTGTCTTTCTTTCCACTTGAGGAGTTTATCATCACTTATCAAAATGCATTCAGTTCTTTGAAGCGAGGTTAATTATATGGATTTTAATGACTCTTGAAAATCATACCTTTCTTCAAAGGTGCCTGGATTTTTTTATTGATACAGATAAAAATATTAAGGGTTTCTAAAGCATTCCTCTCTCAGAAAAATTACCCCTTTCAGCTGTATTTTCTCATAGGAGAAAAAAAATTATTCTCATTATGGATGTCTTTTGATACGCAGTATCTTACTTACATTTTTATGACCTCATTAAGTCCTCTGAAAGCGTGAGATGGGATTACTTTGATAGAGAGATAGGTGAATGATCTAGAAAAGAAAAAAGGGAAGCCAAGAGTTTAAGATCAAGACTGGATGCCTTTTTAGTACATGAATTAAGTAAAAGTGTGTGTGTGTGTGTGTGTGTGTGTGTGTGTGTGTGTGTGTGTGTGATGAAGTCCCAACAACTAACTGGATTCAAGTTCAGCATTCTAACAACATATTAATAAAGACATAATGTAACATGGGCTTGGGTTTTCCCCCATGATTATGGGCTTTATTAGAGGTTATTACAGGTTACAGTTCAGGTTGGAAGTAACTGTACACTTCTTACCTCTCAGGTGAGTTCACAGGTCCTCTGGCCTTCGCCCTCATTGATTCAGGCCAGTGTTACTCAGCTCTTCTAGTCTCACTAATTACAGCATGTCCTGAAGGCCTCCAGTAAGCCTGGGTGAATGTTTTGGGGCAGCATTTCTAGTTCAATTCTCTCTCCTATTGGCCGCTGCTGTCCTGAGCTGGTCTCTGGTCCTGCATCTTGGCGGCTTCTGCTGCTGCAGTTGGCGGTGTTGGTCCATCTTACACAAGAATCTCCTCTTCTGCCACTAAAATCCCTCACTGTAGCCAGGTGGGGTGGCAGATCTGACCAATCTACTCATTAGTTGACTACACAACTTCACTATGTCCTCTCTTGAAAGGTGCGCATGATCCCATTCACATTATTAGGATAGTGCTACCATAGTCATGCAGTGAAAAGCAAAGCCAGTGGCTAGAAAAGTCGACTGCATCACATTTATGTGAGTGATTTCTCATTTAGGAAGTACTTCCAGGATTATCTCACTTAGTGTTCCCAATCAGACTGTGATGTGGTATTATTATTCCTCTTCTACTCATTGCTGTTGATTGGAACCAACTTATAACTGACCCTCTATTTTCTGAGATTTTTGGTTTTATTTATTTTTTTTTAATTAGAATCTGATACAGTGGCTAAACTCATTGGCATTGGGCTCAGACACAGTTGGGTTCACACTGCAGTTCTCCTACTACTGGCCAAGAGGTCCCGAGTATGTGACTAAGCTTTCCTTGCTTCAGTTCCTGACACTTTGTCACTTGGTGATGGCTTGCATGTTGCTATAAGACCAGAAGATATGCCCCCAGTGTTTTCAAATAACAGCAAGGCTACATGGTAGACAAATTACAGCAGACCTTCCAGACTTAAGACTAGGAAGAAAGGCCTCGTAATCTACTCTGACAATAGGCCAGTGAAGACCCTATAGTTTGAGGGATGAGGAATGAGTACCAAAAGAGCCTGGGGTTAGGATAGCTCAGGAAAAAGTACTGGACATCCGTTAACTGCACATCTGCCATGCGTCAGCACTGGGAGAGGAGGGGAGGGGACAGAAGTTTTATTATGTCACATGTTTATGGTGGAGGCATAGCTTTCCCAGCTAGGATAGTGAAAGTGAGGAGGACTTAAAGTGCTTGCTGCAGAAGATCAAGGACTACGGCTTATAATACAGATTTCATCTCAACACCAAGAAGACAAAAGTCCTCACCACTGAACCCGTAAGCAACATGATGATAGATGGAGAAAAGATTGAAGTTGCCAATGATTTCATATTACTTGAATCCACAGTCTACACTCTTGGTACCAGCAATCAGGACATTAGGAGTGTGTTGGATAAGGTGGCTTTCAGGGACTGCTCCAAATTATTGAGGAGCAGTGCCAGTTTGAAGACTCAAGTGCACTTGATTCAGGCCATGGTCATTTCAGCCACTTGCTATGCATCAGAGAACTGGACAACGAACAGAGATGACAGAACAAGAATTGATGCCTTTGAGTTGTGGTGTTGGAGAAGAGTACTGAATATCTTATGGATTGCCAAAAGAACAAAGAGTTATGTTTTGGAGAAGGTATAGCCAGAAGTGCTCTTTGGAGGCAGAGAGGATGAAGCTTTGTCTCACATACCTTGGGCATATTGTTAGGTTCCTTGGAGAGGGACATCATGCTTGGGAATTTAGAGGGACGGCAAAAGAGAGGGAGATCCTCAAGAAGATTAGTTGATAGGTAACCGCAGCAATGGGTTCACGTGTATCAGAGATGGTGCGGTTGGCACAGGATAGGACAGTGTTAACATCCATTGTTTCTAGGGTTGCTACGAGTCGTACTTGACTTGATGGCACCTAACAACATTAACTAGGAAAGAACATCTCTACTATGATGACCTGATTTAGACTGTGAGATGTCTTACAGCCGCAGCAGGAGCTTACTACTGGCTTAAGGTGCTGTGTTTATTAATACCTGCCTATACCCCCCCTTTTTAAAATCCAGTCAACAACGGGCACACAGTGTTTTAGCCATTCAAGAATCCACGCAATGGTGTGACAATTAATTTTATGTGCCAGCATGGCTAGGCGCTGTCCTAGCTAATCACTAGTTGAGGTGTTGCTATGAAAGTGTTTTGTAGATCTGACTAACATTTGTATCATCTGACTTTTTCTTTTTTTATCATCTGACTTTTAAGTAAAACAGGTTACCTTTGATAGTGGAGGTGGCCTCATCCAAGACATGGAAGGCCTTAATAGCAAAAATAATGTTTTTATGAGGGGAAAAGGTTCTGCCTCAAGATTATAAATACATATTCTGTTAGACTCTCCAAATTTCCAACTCACTCCCATGGTCTACACGCGTTGGCCATGAGATGGAATAGACTCAACCACAGCTGGAAACACAGGAATAAATGGGAAATCAGTTGACACATTTCAGGTGATGGATGCAGCTCTGGATGTGCTCACCAGACTCTGCCAGGAAATTGGAGGATGTCTGCCTCGCCAGCTGATTGAAAGATTCTGTTCCAATTCTCAGGAAAGATGATTCCACAGAAGGAGGAAATTATTTAACAATACCATTAATAAGTAAAATACTACTGAAGATTATTCATCTAGGAATAATAATCTATGCTAACTAGTACATAGAGAACTTCCAGAAGTTCAAGCTTGGATTTAGAAGAGACTATGGCACTAGGGATATCATTGCTGATGTCAGATGGATCTGACTGAAAGTATACCAGAAAAATGTCTTATTTGTGCTTTATTGACTATGTAAAGGCATTTGACAGCATGAATCATAACAAATTATGGCTAACATTGAAGAAAGCACGAATCCCAGGACCTTAATTATGCTCATGCTAAACCTATACCTTGACCAAGAAGCTGTCGTGCAAACAGTGAAAGAGTAGTCTACATGGTTTAAAATTTAGAAAGGTGTGCATCACGGTTTTATCCTTTCTCCACCTGTTTAATCTGTATTCTGAGCAAGTTATTCGAGAAGCTTGGCTCTAATAATAAGAACGTGGCATCAGGATTGGAGGAAGACTCATCAATAACACCTTCAGTATGCAGATGAGACTATTTTTTTTTGCTGAAAGCAAGGAGGATTTGAAACATTTGCTGCAGAAGATCAAACACTGCAGCCTTTAATATGGATTCCTTCTCAATGTCAAGAAAACAAAAATTCTCACTATTGGACTGATAGGCTACAACATGATAGACGGAGAAAATATAGAAACTGTCAATGACTTATCTTACTGGAATTCGTATTCAGTACACTTGGGACCAGTAGAGAGGCGATCAGGAGATGTATTATACCGGGAAGGTCTGAAGTCAGAGACCTCTCTAAATTACTGAGGAGCGATGATACTTTGAGGACTATCCACCTGATTCAGACCATGGTCTTTTTTTTTAATCATGGTCTTTTTGATTACTTTCTGTGCTGCTGAGAGCTGGCCAATGACTAAGGATGACAGAAGAAAACTTGATACCTTTGACCTGTGATGTTGGAGAAGAGTACTGAATATCTCATGGACGGTCAAAAGAACAGATATGTGTTGGAGCAGGTGCAGCCAGAGGGCTCCTTGGAGCCAAGTATGACAGCGCTTCATCTCAAACACCTTGGACATGTTGCTAGGGGAGTTACTTGGTGCAGAACTTCAGGCTTGGAAAGGTGGAGGGACAGCGAAGGAGAGGAAGAACCTCAACAAGGTGAATTGACACAGTGACTACAGCAATGGGCTTGAGTGGGTCAGAGATTGTGAGACTGACACGGGAAAGCACAGGGTTCAGATCTGCTGTCCATTGGATTGCTATGAGCTGTATTCAACTCAGTAGCACTAAACAACACTAGTTGGATTTGCTTTTCCAACTAGTGATCCACAGATTTTGGACTCGCCAGCCCACTGAGGGCAGGATTTTCCAAATTTCATGGTCCAGTTTATCAGAATCGATCTCTGAGTATCAATATTAGTATGAAAAAATAAATTGGCTTTGTAAACTCGAATCACTTGATACGAGAAGAAAATATTAGGAAAATGTTATGTCAGCCTAAGAAACAATACCAATTTACATCACGTCATTTCTATGTATAGCCACCATATTTTTTTAAAAATTTTATTATTTTTGTGTGAGTGTACTGTCAAATCAGATCTGACTGGTACAGGAGGAGATTGTCCCTCCTTCCCCGGCAGAGCATCTGGTGGATTCGAACCGTGAGCCTCTGGGATTGTAGTTGCAGCTCCTTGCCACCGGGCCACCAGAGCTCCCCTTAGCCACTATATTTTTGTTGTTGCTTTGTACCATCAAGTTGGAACCAACTCGTAGCTGATCCTCCAGTGGGTTTTCAGAGGCAGTGAATCATATAGGAAGAGACTGCCCGTCCTTCTTCCACAGAGGAACTGGTAGATTCAGACCACTTGCTTTTGAGATTGCACAAAAGCTTGTTCTGTTCAGAAGAGTTCTGTATTTTTACCATCTCCTTCCGGCTCAAGCAGTATACTAATGTTTCCTCCCAGAGATCTAAGGAAGAGAAGGTTCTAGAAACCTTCATTTCATGGGGGTGTGTGGGGGGAATACTTTCACCTAACACCCTCTTACAGGTGGAATAACCTAGAAGAAGTAATTAAAAATTGGTCCTCAGATTCTCCTCCAGAAAATCAGCCCACCATGCACATAGTTCACCACATAAACTTATTTACCAGAGGTGCTGAGAAGAGCAGAGA